CTATAAAAATAACAACATAGCTGGTCTCATGGTGCCATCGCGTGCTAACACGAACTTTATAGGTCCCACATATGATTATGAGCTTGACATATTCAAGCGATCGATTTCACATTGCTTTCATATGCAATTTTTAACTACCACATTCCTATTCACGATCATTCTGGTAGCACGTGAAGGCAGCATCAGTGAAAACAAAGACAATGGTAGCTTTAGCAACATTAGCCTTACAGAGTGCCAAGAAGCTCTTTCAGAAAGGCAACTTGGAAAACAAACGCGTGATACTTTTTCTAGATAGCGTAACGTTAGCTGAATCACGAACAGTTGGCACTGCTCCTTCCTTCTGGAGCCAGGAGCAACTTTTGTGCAAAACCTGCTTTATACTGACCCTCATTCACAAAGCAGTCCGGTGTAAAATGATTCGCGCAGACATAAACGAATTTCTGTAGAGTTGAGGGAGTATTTTCTTCGAAAACAAAATTAATCCACTTCATCTTCAGCGGCTCAGATTTTGAGAGTAAATGGAGAGAGCTATGTAGATTAATTCATCCAGCAACAGAACACCTAAAACGCTTGGGAGACATTCTCGTCAGTGCAGCAATGGCGGACTGTGTACAACTTGCTGTGAACTCGCTCAGGGCTGTTCTACGTTAAAACGCCAGTGTCTGTCAACATTCGTGGGCAGGGACTGTGGCTAATGTGACATCACATTAGCACCAATGCTAAAAATAGGCCATTGGGAGACACTGCTTATTATTTATGGGGATTAAAAAAAAGGTGTAGATGGATTTTTATCATTATAGGGTGGTTGTGTACACACACTGCCAACACACATTTATGTCCAAACGTGAATTTTGCATAATAGGTCCCCTTTAAACAAATTGTCTTTTAAATAAGTACTTGGAATACTTAATTTTAATCAAATATGCATGTATTTGAATACTAATTTGCCTGTTTGTTTTAAACAATTTGGCACTTACTGAAATGATGATATCAGGATTTTTTTTTTAGCTATCTGTAGAAGGAAAAATAGTTTAACTTCCTTGAAGGTCTTTTTGTTATTCTACCACGATTCCCATGAAAATCTCTAGAGATCTCTTAAATGTTGTCACTTTATCTTTTGCAGTGAGCTTGTGTCATTTTTATTAAGTGACAGTAACAAGAACCACTTTCACAAGATTAAAAAGGCTCCATAGCAAATATTGTTTTTATGCGCTGTATCATTTTTGGTGCTCGACTTTACTTGCAGAGATGGATAAAGAAAAGAGAAATGGTGCATTTGTTAAGATAACTGTCTTGTTTTAAAATGATTTTATCTTTTCATTTTAAATCCAAATATATGATTAACAGTTTTGTTGCATTCATTTGTAATATCTGGCGTCGTGTAAAATCTTCCATTCATCTTTTTTACTGAGAGGATCTCATTCTGATCTAATTAAACAGCACCACACAATAGACACTGTTGCATTTGTAAAATGTCTATGTAATTTTAGTTTACTATATTGCTGCTCAGGGATTGAAGATTAAGTTTATATAATGCAAAAATAAGAACTGAATATATGACTTGCAGATTTGGCACATTTTTAGGAGGGGTAATTTTCATTCCAAAGGCCTTGAAGCATTTTAATGAAGCCTGTATGAATTGAATTATTGTGCGTGTGCGTGTGTGTGTGTGATGGAATAGTCTACATCAAACCAACCATGACTATTTATTCACTTGGAGTCTTTCAATACAAAAATCTTAAAATGACCTCCATGAAATATGCAGGGTAGATTCTCTATTGAAACTTCAAACTCCTTGATGGAAGCATGACCTAAATGTGGTGAATCAATAACTTTGTAGTTAATTTATTAAACATTTATTGTTTCATTTATCTTAATATACTTCAATATAAGAACCATTTTTGAGGAACTTTTTAAAAATCTAAAGAACCCTTTTCCTCTCTAAAGAACCTTTAGTGCAATTTAAAGGTTCCATGTATGTTCAAGGTTCTTCATGGAACCATCAATGCCAATAAAAAAACATTATTTTTTAAAAGCGTTGTTCTGTAGTCAACATTCATATGAAGACTAGGTTTATAATTTCCCATCTGCAGTAGAAGCAAGCACTTCGATGCCATCTCAAGGTCATTTGTGAAGCTGCCGTTGAACTGATTTCTTAATGCCAACATGGCTTCATTTGCTAATTAAACTGATAAAAGCTAAATATTTAATGCATTTGTCGCTTCCTTTATAGGTCCTCAGAGGACCAAATACATTTCAAATAGACTTCAAATGAGAAAGCAACTAAAGTAATTATAATTGACATTCACACTTCTGTTATCGTTTCCTTTTTTTGTCACAAACTATTAGGCAGTGCATGTTTACCCTTTGAGACTGTGCTAATGACCTTATTTTTAATTAGTAAGAATACAGCATAACTGAAATTGCATGAACAGTACATCTTTGGGCGATGCAGCCACAGCCTATTGAGAATAAAAGAAGGATAATGATGTAATTCTGCCACTTTCAAAAGAAAGAAAATACAACATACAATTCTCACTTTGCTAATATATCTTTAATACTGAAATCAATCTTTCAGTATTAAAAAATTAGGTAGTTTATGTCTGACAGGAAGCCGCTATGTCATCTAGACCTTGCAGTGGTCAACAGGTAGAATATATATGAGTCCCTAATGAACCGCACAGTGGTCAATGTCATCATTTTGACATTTTTTTGCTTCTGAACTGCCATTTAAGAACTGCCATTTTTCAACCAAAGCATGCTTATTATATGAAATTGCAGGGCGTTGGCTGCCCTGTACTTTTCAAACAGTTATGGACTCTATGTTCTGAACTATCATCTCTAAATGATTATGATAAAAATTGGATGCTATGAGTAAAGTAGTCTATCCTCCATGTCATTTATACATAAAGGTGCAAGAACATTTTAAACATGTTTATCCAGCTTTCACACAGTAATGTATGCCCTACATTTAGGAGTGATGTAACCTGAGTTGTAAGACTCTCAGTATCCTCAATTATACATTTTGTGGTAAGAAGTCAAAATTTAATTGTAGTTTAAAATGTGTGATCATTTTGATGAAGGTACAATGACAAAACTGGTCACAAAATGTTGTCAGCTTGTGAACATTACAACTTACACCAAATAAATATTGAAATAGTATACCAAATTTGCAAAAATAGCAAAATACACAGATATAGAGTCAAAGAAGCAAAAACAACACTCATCTACGTGTTCTTTCCGTCAAATTATAAACCTCAGTAAATGAACAGCAGAAATGTGTGCATTTTGTCTCTGTCTGCTAATAGTGATACATTACTGAAATATTTTTAACTCCACCCTACACCACTCTCTCTGACACACCTGCCAGATCTCTGAAGGAGGGAAACATTCTTGGAGCAGATCTGCTGTAGCCTACTCCAGCCGTTCAATGGCTGCAGGGCAGCGTGCCCATCTCAGACGTTATCCGCACAATAGATGTATTGCGACAAAAAAAATTTTTTTTTTTTTCCGCGTTTCGGCAAGACACACACAAGTGATGGGGGACTCCATTTTTAAGACGCTATAAATCTGCCCGGGTGCATTCGGCAAGGACTTTAAATGCAATACACCCTTGGGTGCGCGGCGGAGAACGCCTGTTACGCACGAGACGAGCGCGAGACGGGGGCATTTCCGAACAAATGTATTAAATGGTTGAACTTTAAAATATACGACAGTGGCTTTTGTAACAAGCATTTCACCTGATGGATCGTCAAAAAACTCTGCTGCGGTGGCAATTGGGCTGTCACATGCCAACGGGACCGAGAGGACATAACTGGGGCAACTGAAAATGTCATTGTTTTTCTTCTGAATTAGTCTGTTCAGCATACTACATATGAGACCAACAACCATAACTCTAACCGAGAAAATTTCACAACACTGGCTTTATAAACGCCCTGAGACTTTGCGAATTAAGAACAGAGTCTTTGAGGAGGTGAGTGGATTTCATATGATGTCTACAATGCCTATATGCAGGTATAAGGCGAATAGAAATTGGGTTATATGGCACCTGTTGTGAAAGGAATAGGGTGCAATAAACGGCGTAGATGGATGGGTGGCATTTTGTTCCCAAGGAATTCTACATCAAAAAAGTTAGTCTGGTAATAAATAGTCTAATAATGTATATTTGGACAATTCACTTCAATCTTAGTTTGCTTTTTTGTCAATAAATATAAAACTTTAGTTGCACACAGCTTTCTGGTCAGTCACGAAATAGCAATAAAATATTTACGAATAATAAGCGCTGAATAACTGACCGCTGTACCAGGAAACCTTTGGTTGCTTTGCATTGGGTCACGATAATAACTGTACATTGTCTTATACATAATCTTATTAACATCTACATTTAAATTTCGACAGTATAATATTTACAATAAAATGCCACCCAGTGATGCTAAACCAGTTTAAATAGCATTGGTGGCCGGAGGCGTTCATTCACGGTAAGAGCAAGGTGATATTTGAAGGACTAGTGATGTATGGCACGAGTGAGTTATGGCTTGTCACTCCAGTCTCCAGGGCCGAGGGGACTGTAGGCTACAAGCCCGCACTCCGAGCTCTTCGCCTGGGCTGTCCGTGGACACACAAGCGGCAGGGATTTCGCTCGTTATTTGCTGGGACGTCAGCGTAAAATGCTCTAATTTATATTTTCTTCTAAACTACCGATACTTTAATAAACGATAATGGGTCCGGAAAAGCATGGTTTAGAATTGCCTTTGCCCACCGTGGATGTGTCCGGTACGTGTCCAACTAACGGAGAAGAGGAAACGGAGCTGTGAGTCCAGAGTCACTCAGAGCCCGCTTACTGCGATCCGTGGAGGTAACGGCGAGGCGTCTTGCGCTCACAGCAATTTGTTTTTAGGTTAACAGAGTGGAAGACTTGTAAAAATCCCTTTAATGATTTTAAACAGGGGACGAAACACCCCTTTGTTTTGTTCTTCATTGTCAGAGGCAGTTTAGCTATTTTTGGGGGGAATGAAGTTTTCTGTGCAGATGGTTTACTGGCACTGTGTGAGAGAGCTCTGTTCATCTCTGGTATCTTTGAATCATAATTGAGTGTCAGGGACTACTGCTTGATTTTTAGTCTTCACAGAGACCAAACAAGCAATTAGAAACAAACCTGTAGCTTTTTGAGCTGTAATAGCCTATTTGACATCTGTTGAAGGCTGGTGATTGAGTTGATAACATTGCATTTATTTAGGCTATTTATTTCAAAAGTATACAATTCTCATTTTTTTGTGTTTTGTCAAGTAAAAATATGCTTCATGTAGTAACAAATTATTTAGTGCATTTATTCAAAGCAAATATCTTGACTGTTTTAACAAGACTACATTCGGTTTCATTAACAGATTTCATTTTAATGGGCTGAACGGATAGAAAGAGCGGACAACACTTTAGAATAGGGAACACATATTGACTATTAACTATGACTTTTCCCTCAATAAACTCCTAATTTGCTGCTTATTAATAGTAAGGTAGTTGTTAAGTTTAGGTGTGGGGTAGGATTAAGGGATCTAAAATATGGATATGGTCATGCTGAATATGGCATTAATATGTGTTTTATAAGTACTAATAAACAGTCTAATATGCTAGTAAAATGCATGCTAATAAGCAACTAGTTAATAGTGAGAATAGGTCCTTGTGTTACCAAAAGAGCAAACAGGTAACAACTGCACATTTCCACTTTTAAACAGTACATGATGTGCCATAATTGTCATGCAGTTGTCATTCTAAAGGTATTTTTTACATGCTTCTTGGTTTGCTTTAGTTTATCTTCATGATCTCTTGAAGCTGGTGTTTCAACCCTCAACTTCACATGCACATTTTATGTTGAAAAAAGGTTATATTTAAACCATGGTGGAAGGGTTGAACTGTATTTTTGATGTGACTGTTATGAACACTCAGTGTTAAGTGCTTCACAGCATGCAAAGGGTCTCTGGAGCAGCTCTGACATTTCTCTGATGCAACTTCACTCAGAATGTCAGATCTTTTACTGCTTCTCTATCTCTTACCTCATCTTTTTAAAGACCATTCATAAGATTAACATTTGAAGTCTGGTATTATTTGTGGACTAAACATTCTGTTTTTGCATTTCAGTCAAAATCAGCTTCAGTCTGCATTTTCAGTCACCTTGTGAAGGTCACATAATTCTGTCTCAGATGCCATTTGGGTGATTTTGAGTCCCTGAGATGTCGTATTTGGTACCTTTGTTAGGCTTATTACCCTTTGTTAGGCTGAATCTCTTCTATTGCTTTGAGGATGCAGCAGTTGACCTTGTGAAGGTGCTTCCATGTTGTTGTGGCTCATTATGTGTTTCTGTTTGCAGTCTTTAATGAACTGGCTAACATGTAGTTGCAGCATCTGAAACACAAATGGTAGTGAACCCTCTTTAAAAGGTCCTGGATCAGAGCCAGGAGCAGATGTGCAAAACCAAAAAGCCAAGATAGCACCTGCTACACACGATGTGTAAGTGCCTCACACCTTTTCCGGTACCGGACGATGTGTTGGTCCCATGAGATCCTATGAGTCAGACCGGCTAAAGGATGTCTGGGAAGAATCCATTAATATAGCATCATATGTTATTTATCATGCCAACAGTGGATGTCACTTCCTTTCAGTCCCTCGCTCTTTCTCAATCTCATTTCTTTTTTCAACTATTAAATAAACGCTACCTGCTGCACTAAGGGCTTAATGTGACGGCAATTTCGCCCAATATCTATTCACATCAGCATTCACACACTGCCTGTGAATTAGATATGGGCCAGATTAGGATGTACAGGCTTTGGAATAGAATGTTTGTCAAGGTTACTCTGGCAACCTCAGCATAATGTACTTCAGAATCCGTTACCAAAGCAACAACATACAGTACAATTTGACCCAGGTTATTTGTAATGTGCATGTCTTTTAGTAAGTAAATGCCAAGAAATGGAACTGTTTGAACTGACGTGTTTCAAATGACCCTGTGTTGACTATTTTAAATGCACTGTGTGAAATTATATTTTTATTTATAATGAGCTTCATGTACAGTACCGTTCAGATGTTTTTGAAAAATGTTTTTGTGCTCTTATGTTCTCCATGGCTGCATTTGATTGATCAAAATTACAGCAAAACAGTATTGTGAATTATTATTAGAATTTATTTTAGAATTATTATTAGAATTAGTTGTGCATTTTGATATATTTTAAAATGGAATTAATTCCTGTGATGACAAAGCTAAATTTGTAAAATATTCAAATGTTAATATATTTTAAAATTTAATGCATTCACTACATTTTCAAAATGTTCAAGTATTATATCTTCATAACATTAATAATAAGAACAGTGCTTAACATTTTTGTGGAAACTACATTTTTCAGGATTTTTTGATGAATAGAATGTTCAAAAGAACACCATTTATTTGAATTTTTTTTCAAACAGTGTCAGTTTTGATTAATTTAATACATCCTTGCTGAATAAAAGTATTAATTACTGATCCCAAAAAAATTTACATTATAGTGTTGATATCCAAAAGTGAACCAACTGACTTATCAATGGCTCTTTGAAATATTCATGTGTAGCTGCCCTTAGCTGGGCCCAGTATCAATCAAACTGCACCCAAAGCTGCCTTCAGCTAAAGCCTCTGTTAATATCTATGGTAATTACAGTAGCACAGAGCCCTGTTGTACAGCTAGGGATCGTCCTTGGTGAGCATCACCACAAATTAGCAGCTTCACTCCCTCTGTCACAATTCTCCCTTAATTCACATGAAATGCTCTCAAAAGAGGCTTTGTGTCTCTGAGTAGAATTAATCAAGGATTCCCCATTATAACTTTGGAAACTTTGGAAACGCTTGGGTTTTGAGGTATTTTAGACAGCATTGGAGCCTAAAATGAGTAAAACAGACCAGACACTCGAGACACATTCAAGCATTGATGCCCTGACAGTATTTCAAAACAGTAAGAAATCAAAAACCTAAATCCTGTGGAAAATTTCTCATCTTTTGGCAGGCTGCTAGAAACAGCTCCACCATTTCAATCCATGAACAATTGTGCCACTACATTATACAGCAACTTATCTACCTTGACACTGTCATTGTTTTACTAAATAAAAGCCCTGTTGTGCTCACAGGGGAAAAAAATCAATGGCTTGAAAGAATGAGCCCTCAGACAAACATTCACAGTGGGGGCCATAGGTACAAATGTATTAAAAATCATTAACATTATTTATATATATTTGAAGTGAGAAAAAAACACTTTTATATAAATATTGATGTAAATCAGGGCTCAACATTTTTTTAATCATCAAAATATATGCAGTACTTGTCGAAATGTTGGAAATATTATGATTTTTAAATGTTTTTAATTGCGTCTCATCTCACTAAGGCATTTATGTGCTCAAAATAGAGTAAAAACAGTACTATTGTGAAATAGTATTACAATATAAAATAGCTGTTTTCTATTGTAATTTATTTTAAATGTAATTTATTTCTGTAATGTAAAGCTGAATTTTCAACATCATTATACTCCAGCCTTCAGTGATCCTTCAGAAATCATTCTAATATGCTGATTTGGTGCTCAAGAAACATTTATTCTTCATCATTTCTTATTATCTAAATTAATGTTTTTATTCAGTAAAAATATGAATTAAATTGAACAGAAGTGACAATAAAAACATTACCATTACTTACTACATTACTAAACAAATTCGATTTCAAATAAATACTATTCTTTTGAACTTTATATTCATCACAGAATTCATCAAAAATGTTACCGAAAAATATTGGGCAGCAACAACTGTTTTTAACATTGATAATAATAAGATCTATTATTAATAACTGAGCACCAGTAACAACTGAGTATCAAATCAGCATGCTAGAATAATTTCTGAAGCATCATGTGACACTGAAGAATGGCGTAATAATGCTGAAAATTCAGCTTTGCTATCACAGGAATAAATTACATTTATTTCACATTGTAATAATAATTCACAATATTATATTTTTACTGTATTTTTGATCAAATAAATGCAGCCTCGGTGAACATAAGGTACTTACTGCATAAATACATAAAGAAATTGTGTGTGTGTGTGTGTGTGTGTCGTTCTAAAATCATAAAATGTTCTATTTATTTATGAGTTTAAAGTATTTGTTAAATCCCTATTGAATCTGGAGAAATCGCTCATGCCCTTTGACTAGAGTCTTGACAGTAGTGACAGAAAGAGAAATTTAAAACCAAATGCTGCTCCAGTGAGCTCATATAAATCAGAGTGACAAGAGTTTTGTCACATTTTCATCTTTTTTCTTTACCCCAAGTAGCATTCTGGACGCATGAGCTGTACATGTATTTTTGGAGATTAAATGAGGTACATTTATTCAAACCCTGGCAGTCTCCTACAATCCCATAAGACCAACAGAAGCAAGACGAGTGGGTGTGTATGTTTTGCTGTGGATTTACCTGTGTGTGTACATGTGGGCATTTATGTATTTGAACGATATCCTTACAAAATGAACTTGATTGAATACACTCACAGTTGTAAATGTATGCACCTTTCACACAGCAGTGTATTGTACTCTGAAGACCCTGTTTGCCTGCGCTCCATCCTTCTTTCTAGGTCTAGTCACTTTCTTTCAGCAACAGACATGAAATCATTACTCACTTTTGGAGGTTTCGGTGAGGCTGCAGGCACAGTGGTTGCGTGCTCATCGATTCATCTCAGTTGTTTGTTGTTCCTTTGAAGGGTGAAGATGCCTTTTCACCATGTGAGAGCAGGGCTGCTCTACACAGACAACTACCTGAGCACCTCTCTCTCCGAAACTAGTGAAGAACAGCTTGCCAACATCTCCACAGAGGAGCTTGGCGGTGAGTGAGTATATGTGTGTGTGTGTGTGTCTTTTGTTTGGATGGCTGCTATTTGTCTCAGTGTAAATGTCTATAATTTTATAGAATATATGTTTTGATTTAAAGTATTGTTTGCCCCAGAAATTAAAATGCAGATTAATTTAATTTAATTTAATTTAATTTAATTTAATTTAATTTAATTTAATTTAATTTAATTTAATTTAATTTAATTTAATTTAATTTAATTTAATTTAATTTAATTTAATTTAATTACTCCTTTCTTTCCAAACCTGCTGTTATTTGTTTTTATTAAACACAATAAAACTTTTTTTTTTTAATTATTCATAGAAGTTCCATATAATGTTCATATTGACCACATCTGTCAAGCTTACAAAAAAAAAAGTTTTGTGTAACACACCAAAATGTTGGTTGTTTTGTAAAAATCAAATTCTATGCTGTCCTCAAATGAAGCATGAATTTTGGTTATGACACATGCAAGAACCAAATGCCATTGTGGAAACAGTTATGTCATATCTGGCACAAGTCATCTGGCACATTTTGAAACTGAATGTGAATGTAAATGAGATTTCATAGCTTCAGCAGAGGGGAAGATTTTTAACCTTTTTCTCACGCAAACATATGGTAGAAAACTTGGAATATAGTGTCCTTTTTGGAGTTTAATTGCCCCTGGCCACTATGAACAAATTTTTTTTTTTTTTCAATAATTCTAAATTAATTCATTTGTATGAAGAAATTCCACAGACAAATATCTGCAAATTGGTTTGGAACAATAAGAAGTTGACTACATGATAAAAATGTAGCATTTTTTTGGTAAAAACGTACTCTTCATCCTCACTTATAACTTCTTCATCCTCACTGTTTTTAACATCGTCATTCAGTTGTACTTAATAACAGCAACCAAAGGAACCTCAGGGTTTATTAGCTTATGCCTTCAATGTGATAAACATTATAAACCCATTACAGTTACTGCCCCACTACAGTCCATTGCAAGTGGAAATCTCATTTTCCTCATCTGGAATGTCTTGCGTGTCTGGTCATGTGTTGAGGCAGTGCCTTAGGGCACACAAGAAGAAAATCGATGGTCTGACTGCTGGGTTAGAGGGTGTTGTGAATACAGTGGTTGATTTGAAGAGATGTTTGAACTGTGAAACTCTCAGATGGAATTTAAATTTGCAGCACCTCCTTTGAAAATGATTGTTTTGACAGACCAGGAACCGAGGGCTGGTCACAGTGGGAGGTTCTATGGTTTGCATATTCATGAAATGAGGGATAAAAAGTGAGAGTAGCAGTTCAGACGAGGTCTGTCTTTGCAGAAAGAAAAATTCTTGAGGGAGATAAAGAGGACCTTGTTAAATAATGAGCCACTGACTGAATAAACTTATCAATTCAATTAACTCATATTGAATGAAATCTAGTTGCCTTGTTATAAACCTTTGGACATTTGTCTAAATCTGGTAAAAAAAAAGTCACATGTAAGGCATAAAAAGAAGCTAAAATATCATTAAGTCAAGACAAAGAGGCTTCTAGGAAACGGGGGCGTGTGGAGAGGATTGGGTTTTGCTAATGGCAGAGGAATTAACCCACATGTTCTAATGAGATTGACTTTTTGTTCTTTTATGCTTAAGGTTCCAGGGCCACCCAATGCTTTATTTTTTAAATACCAAGAGTAAAATAGTAGTTTTTAAAATGAATTAACCTATGGTAGTTAATTCCTTTGCTTAAATCCACTTTTTTATTATGTACTTTCAGAAAGGTCAGATATTTTGGGTGTGTTCACACTTTGGCAGGTTTGGTTCAATTAAAATGAACTCTGGTGTGATTGTTTAATTAGTGCGGTTCATTTGAATAAGTGTAAATGCTGCCATTTAAACCTTGGAGAGCACCAAACAAGTCAACTAAGACCCACTTTGTTTGGTTGGTTCCATTGCAAAATATGTGTCATAAAAGCAGTCAGATTAGGTTGTGAACTTATCCTTATGCCTTTTGTTTTGTATCTTTAGGCTCTGTGTTAAAAATGACCAGGTGAATGCTGGGAGAACCAGGACTAAATGTATCATTTTCTTTTTTTGAACTGAACCACAAGTTTGAACACACTCTTATTATAATAATGTCGTTTTATTTATTTCAGTTTGACCCCAACATTTTATTTTATTTTATTCTATTGTTAGACACCAACTAAACATTTTTCACAGTGCCCATATGAAGTATATTATCAAATTTTGTTTACAATTAATTCTTACAAGATTAAGAAAAGTCTTCAAGTATCTAAAGTATCAACCTGACACTTCAAGGTTAAGTATGTTATGAGCTATTAATAGAAGGCCATTAAAGGGATAGTTCACCCAAAAATGAAGATTCTGTCATCATTTACTCACCCTCATGTCGTTCCAAACCTGTATGAGTTGCTTTCTTATGTCAAACATAAAAGAAGATATTTTGAAGATTGCTGGTAATCAAACAGTTGGTGGTTGCCATTGACTTCCATAGTAGGAAAAAAATATACTATGGAAGTCAATGGCAACCACCAACTGTTTGATTACCAGCAATCTTCAAAATATCTTCTTTTATGTTCGACATAAGAAAGCAACTCATACAGGTTTGGAACAACATGAGGGTGAGTAAATGATGACAGAATTTTCATTTTTGGGTGAACTATCCCTTTAAGGTTTTTCCGATGCCAACAGAACATGAGGGTTAAAGATACTTTATTTAAAGGAATGCAAAAAACTTTCAGGCTTTGTCAAAATGCAGGAAGCGCTCAGTTCAGCATATTACAAGGCACAGGCTCCTCTACCTCTTTATCCCAAAATAACACCAAGGTGGGTCTTTAAGACGGCAAAAAAGTGTAATACACCTCAGAAAAGATACGAGATACGGGTGTTATTTTGGTTGTTGCTGCTTGCGACTTGGTGTGGGTTGCTTAACCCGAGCTGAACTGAAAAACTGGCACTGATGCCCTTTGAAATGCTGGATAAACGTTCAGTCACAGTGCACTAAATACACGGCTTTGAAAACAGAACGAGCTGCATTTAGTATTTCTGCTGTTTGTGCGATAGTACACTGTGTTACTGCTGAGAAAAGCAAGCGTGATATAATACGTACCGTCTAATGCTTACCGATGACATGCACATTCCACTTGAATTATGTATGTCAATTGAGTTATTTGTGTTTACAGACTGTTCTGCATTTCTATTTTGTCTCGTTTCTCTGCAGAGATTCGAGAGGCGTTCCGAGTTCTAGATAGGGATGGGAACGGATTCATCTCGAAGCAGGAGCTGGGTATGGCCATGCGCTCTCTGGGGTACATGCCCAGTGAGGTGGAGCTGGCTATTATCATGCAGAGACTGGACATGGACGGTGAGTCAGTCTCTTTCTACATCTCTCTTATTCTCCGGTTCCACACAAACAAAAGAAGCATCTGTCTTCTGATCATCTGTGAAACAGCTTTACAATCTGTCACAGACCCCTTCCAGTCCTTGCACTGGACAGATATATGATATTCTGAATAGTTCATGCTCAGAAGCGATCATAGAATTGAACAATTTATCCAGCACAGGGGGGCTGTAAATACACCAGTGAGCGAGGTGAATTCTGAGAAGTGTGTGTGTGTGTGTGTCTTGTCTGTGTGTCTGTGTCTGTGTCTGTGTGTCTGTGTCTGTGTGTGTCCGACTTCATGGGTCCTCAAGGTCAGGTCACTGTTGACTGAATGGTTTGAGAACATGCATTGATTTAGCTCATAAATTCCGCCTGGAAGTTTGTATTTTTTTTAATTTTTTGTAGGACAGTTACAAGTGTTGAATGTAACTCACATTGTGGGTGTAGGAGGATTTTTTACACCTCAATATGAATTTTGTTTGTTTAAGATCAGTGTTACATCCATTCTAAGATGCAGCAAAATATATAAATATTTGACCTCAAAAACTTCAGTACACTCTTAAAAAATAAAGGATCTTTATTGGCATCAATGGTTATGAAGAACCTTAAACATCCATGGAACCTTTCAAATGCAGAAAAGGTTCTTTATAGTCAAAAAAGATTCTTTAGATTTCTAAAATGTTCTTCAAAATGGTTCTTTTAGGAACTGTTCACTGAAAGGTTCTTTTGGAAACCAAAAATTGATGTTCAATGGCATCACTGCAAAAACACCCTTTTGGAACCTTTATTTTTAAGAGTGTAAGCCTAGTTGGGCTACATCTCAAGTTTTTGACTCTTAATCATAAACCATATATAACCTGAGTACAGAATGCAGATATGAATGCACCTCTTTACTGTATTTCAGTAATAAATATTTAAGATTCAGCGGTAGAGTGGAGATGAGGTTTTGCAGCACAGTGGGAACATTAGCGTGATAACAGCTCTCTCTGACTTATCACTTTAAGTTCCACTGTCGCTCTCAGCTGGTGTTGCCTTTCGTACAGCTCAGACAAGTAATTTTCTTTTTTTTTCAGGAAAGATTGAGAGAGAAAGATTGATAGCTGTTATGCATGCTCACCTTTGTTCACATGCCATAATATTTTCTAGTTTTTAAAAGAGTTCTGGTCAAATGTACGGTCAAGAGCATGCACCGTAGGAGATGATTAGATTCAGTTTAACTTTAAATTATTAATGAAAAAAAAGAAGGAATTAGGAGCTGCAAATTGATCTAAATTTTAATTTGCCTGGCGCATGATATTGGCTTTATTGAATGAAACAGCACAGGAAACCAATGGCAAATGAAATGTGAAAAGAAAAATATCATTGTCAGTTTCAGATGTAATGGTTAGATCAAGTAAATTTGAATATATCAGATCTGTAGCCTATTACTTAGTTCAAAGACCCTGAACAGTTTCATTTAGCTGAACCGCACCAGTAAAAAACGGCATAACAAAGCAATCAGCAAAGCAGTGCAGATCCTATTAAATTATAATAGTTCCTGAGACTTAGGTAGATGTAGATTAGTGATCCCTGAAGGGCAATTAATAATTCTATTCTGTTCCATTCTTTAACTAATTTTAAGAACTTTAACCAGCTGTTCTCATGAGGTTGAATGTAAATATTTCTAGCGACAAGCAATGGAAACTGCTGTGCAACATAACACATTTTCAACCAGTCAGAATATATTTAAAGGAGTCATATGATGTTGCTAAAAACAACATTATTTTGTGTATTTGGTGTAATAAAATTTTTTTCATGCAGTTTAAGGTTCAAAAAACACATTATTTCCCACATACTGTACATTATTGTTTCTCCTCTATGCCCCGCCTTTCTGAAACACGTCGATTTTTACAAAGCTCATCGTTCTGAAAAGCGAGGTGTGCTCTGATTGGCCAGCTATCCAGTGCATTGTGATTGGCCAAATACCTCAAGCATGTGACGGAATTGTTACGCCCCTTACCCAGGGCCGCATTAAGACCTTACTGGGCCCCGGGGCTATGATTTACTGCAGGGCCCCCTATTACAAATATAATATACAAAATTTTATGAATACATTTATTCATAAAAAAAAAAAATTATGTATTGAAATTTTATAATTCTTGTTACCAACCTTACTGGGCCCCGTGGCTATGATTTACTGCAGGGCCCCCTATTACAAATATAATATACAAAATTTTATGAATACATTTATTCATAAAAAAAAAAAATTATGTATTGAAATTTTATAATTCTTGTTACCAATTTCAATATTTAAAAAAAATTTAAAAATACTATAGCCTAAGTAAAAACAAGCTAAACAGACAAAATTACAAATTACAAAAAAAATAGACCTACTTCTCACTATTTTTTCTTTTTAGAATAGTTTACATTTTTACTTATCGAAGATTGTTCTTTGCATGACTATTTCCAGATTATGCCAGAACGAAGTGGAGAGAGGTGAATGTGGACATTGCAGAGATCACCTGATTGATACGTGGTGCACGGGTCGTTCAAAAGTAAAAATATAGAATAAATGCATTTGATTGGTAAACCAAATTCAAACATTACATTTTAATCTCTAAAGGTAATGCATGGAATATATGGAAAAGCGCCACTAAATAATAGCGCTAATATGTGAGGGGGAAAATTTGGGCGGAGTTATGCAAATCTTCCCACATAGTGACGTAGACATGTGGGGGCGTGTTTGAACGAGGCATTTTAGGAGGGCGTGGACAAGTCGTAACTTTTATAAAGAATATCTCTTTGGGTTTGAGACTTTAGCCTTTGCAACTTTAGGGATCTTATCTATTAACAAACAACTTGTAACACTCCAAAGAGAAAGGAAAACGTGAAATCGCATCATATGACCCCTTTAATGATTATATTTAGCTGTTTGTTTTAAAATGTGTTGATTTGAAAGATTAAAATAAAGGAATAATTCACCCAAAATCAACATTTGCTGAACATTTACTCACCCTCAGGCCATCCAAGTTGTATATGAGTTTGTTTCTTCATCAGAACAGATTTGGAGAAATTTAGCATTACATCACTTTCTCACCAATGGATGCTCAGCAGTGAATGGGTGCCGTCAGAATGAGAGTCCAAACAGCTGATAAAAACATCACAATAATCCACAAGTAATGTAAAAATTTGCTTTTTGGGGTAAATTAATCTTTTAAGTGACTGTTAGATGACAGTGAAAGTAATCCAAATGTAAAAATAAGAAAACATCCTATATACGAAGAAGATATTTATTCAATATGGACAAATTCGATAAAAAATCTCTCATTCAAACTGATAACCAACATGGTACTAATATACACTATCATACCCAAGATCCCTAATTTGTTTTACCTAAACTAATTAAAGCTCTTTTTTTGTAAAATTCTCTCTGATTCTAAACCAAATGCTCTCTTCCTGATGCAGGTGATGGACAGGTGGACTTTGATGAATTTATGACAATATTGGGACCTAAACTTGTTTCTTCTGAAACCAGAGAGGGCTTCTTAGGAAGTACAATAGACAGCATTTTCTGGCAGGTATGAAAAGCATCCATCTATTTTCTATATCTCAATGTTCTCTTGTCTTTCTCATTGCTTGGTTGTGCATTTGTATTCTGAGCATGCGGATAAGATTATGGGTCACACTTTGCCCTCTCCACCTGCTTCCTCCGTCCCATGACGACTGGTGAATGTGAATCTTCTCAGACTGTGGGCTTCAAAGTGAGCAGGCAGATCTTACCATTTCAAAGTGATCATTCATTCATATAGTGAGGAAATCCCAGTTTCACTTCCAAGAGATTTCTTTGAGCGTCGGGGAAGGCATATTAATTGAATGATTTGCCACTTAAAATGAGAAGTATAGATCTGAATTAGTCATCACAGGCATTTGGGCAGCGTTTTTACTCTCTCTTTCTTGTTCGGTCTTCATCTCTGCTTTTATTAAATAAGAATTTAGACCGAAAAAATAGCTGACTTCCTGTTTTGATTGAGCAGTGTCTGAGTTTATGTTTGCATGTCTATGTGTAGCGTATTTCCCTCACAGTGGAAGCCGAGCGATGTGTGTAGGAGTGAGGAACAGCAAGGTCACAGACACTGGTTGTCTCGAAGGTGATTTAAATGCTCATCTCAACACACCTTTTGTGGGACACAGTGACTCATAACTGCAACAGTAATCCATGTAACATCATCACACCAGCATACCAAACACCCTCTCCCTCTCTGATGTTATTATGAGGCCAATACAAGTCTAATAATGGCACAATGACAAAACCTCCTGGGAAATATTGTTTTGACAGAGCAACTATTATTGGGATCATTTCAGTTTTCTACTAGAGATCCTACACTTTTCTTGCACAGTTCAGTTTTTGAATATGTGGTTTAGTGTTATTGTTCAAAAGCTTGAGGTCAGTAAGATTTGTGACCCTGGACCACAAAACCAGTCATAACTAGCACAGGTATATTTGTAGCAATAACCAACAATACAGTGAATAGGTCAAAATTATCGGTTTTCTTTTATGCCAAAAATCATTAGGATATTAAGTAAAGATCATGTTCCATGAAGATATTTTGTAAATTTCCTACTGTAAATATATCAACACTTAATTTTTGTTTAGTAATATGCATTGCTAAGAACTTCATTTGGACAACTTTAAAGGCGATTTTCTCAATATTTAGATTTTTTTGCACCCTCAGATTCCAGATTTTCAAATAGTTGTATCTCAGCCAAATATTGTCCTATCCTAACAAACCTCTCAATCAATGGAAAGCTCATCTGATGTAAAAATGGACCCTTATGACTAGTTTTGTGGTCCAGGGTCACATTTTTTAAAATAAATTAATACTTTTATTGAGCAAGGATGCATTAAATTGATCAAAATCTCAAAATCTTAATCTCATCTTAAAATCTTATCTTTAAAATGTTTCATTACAAACATTGATTTAAAAAAATACAAAATTAAATAAAAATGGATTAAAAATCTAATACTACAAATATAAATTAATAATGATTTCTACTAGTTGTAATAATAATAATACCATTATTAATAAAAATGTAATAATTTAAATAGACTACAATGAACGATTGAAGTTAATGAATGATTTACCCTTAATTTATATCAATTTACAATACAGTACACCAATCCTGTTACCTTTTGATTTTTTTCCAAGGGTTTTTTTTTTTTCAAGGTCAAGTGCATTTTTGCGGGCATTATCTGTAAGGTTCCTGTTAAAAGCTGTTTGCGTCATAAAACCATTCTTATAAATATTAACGCACCATGTCTTTGACATTGAGGTCTGGTAGACTGATGGCCTCTATGTAAAGAGTCACACACTGGAACCAGATCAAGCCCAAAAAGCTGTTGATTTTTAAATCTGTGCTGTAGATGTGAAGTCATAAACCAGTGAGAAGAAAGTTCGCTCTTATCTGTCAGCACAAAGAAGTTGTGTGTCCTCATAAGGATGTCATCTCAGTTTGGATTTGCATGCTGACTAGGACATTTTTCATCCCAAGAACCTCGAGGCCCTTTGTGTAACATGAAAGACTGAGCACGTATTAGAGGGGGGCGTTTAAAAATGTTCTTAACAAGATTGTCAATGGGGACGTCAGAGTGCAGCCAAGAGCTACAGGCAATCATGGATTATTAGGAACACAAGGCATAAACAATCTTGTTTTCCCCACCTCGAGGAACACAAACCTGGGGAGTGTGTGTAGTGTTGTTGCCAACAGCTCTGTTTTGACAGTGGAAATGATTTGAGACAAAAACAGTCAGCATTAACCAGTATCACTAACAGCACATTCTAGCCATATGTGATGTAGAATTCACATGTATATTTCACTGTTTTTTTACTATTGTTTCAAAACATCTCTACTGCAGCAGCACCAGAGATGGTGATGCATTAAATGATGTAGCTGATACATTAAAGGGGTCATATGATGCGATTTCAAGTTTTTTGAACATTAAAGCATGTCAACATATTCTGTTACACCAAATACACAAAATAATGATGTTTAAAAAAGCATCATATGACCCCTTTAAATTATGTAGTCTACCTATGTTGTATTGCATTACATGCACATTTCTGATGTATTCTATGATTCTAGAAACAATAAATAAATAAATTTAGGGGGGAAAAAAACTTAAATTCACAGGAAAGACATTTTTAATGTCACAAAAGATTTCTCACAGTTTCCACAAAAATACTAAACAGCACAACTGTTTTCAACATTGATATTAATAAGAAATTTTCTGGAGAACCAAATCAGCATATTAGAATGATTTCTGAAGGATCATGTGACACTGAAGACTGGAGTTATGGCTGCTGAAAATTCAGCTTTGCCATCACAGGAATAAATTACATTTAAGATATATTAAAAGTTGTACTGCTTAATATCTTTGTAGAAACATGAGGATTCAGGATTCTTTGATTAATTGTAATAATTTAAACTAACATATTTTATAATTTTGTAACATTATAAATGTTTTTACTGTCACTTTTGATCCGTTGGCTTCCTTGTTTAATAAAAATATTAATTTCTTTTTTTTTTTAAATCGTACTGACCCAAAATGTTTGTACACTAGTGTAAATATATAAATATTTGGCAAATAAATTGTCACATTCATTTGTGCTTAGTAATTAAGCAGAAAGCTTTATGCAAGCTTTGCACAAATCACATTTCAAGAGACCAAATTCACATTTATGTACAGAAATTTTACAATATTATAAAATTTATAAAATTATTTTATATTCCATTTCTGACGTCTCAGTTAATGTCAATAAATACCTGATAACAAAAATATCTGAGCAGAGAGGAAAAAATATCTGAGCAAATGTAAAACTGACTTGATATTGTGGGCCCTATCATACACCCGATGCAATGCTAGCAAACTAGCAAAACATTTTTGCTAGTTTCAGCCCGACGCAGTTGTCATTTTCACGTCCTGTGCCACGTTGTTTAAATAGCAAATGCATTTGCGCCCATGGGCATGCTGGTCTGAAAACGAGGTGTGTTCAGGCGCATTGCTGGCGCGTTGCTATTTTGAGGCAACTGAAATAGACTGCATCATTGACCAACAAAAAATGGCGCAGTTTTTTTATTTTTTTTATTTAAAGAGCGCGTTAGTATAGGCGGGTCCACAGCGTGCGTACACTCTGCTTATTACACACACAGGGCCGCACAGCAGCACACAAACATGCCAAATATTAAAAATTAAAGGATTGCAATAAAAGATTATTATTGTGTAGGCTACATAAATATAAAAATGCCTACATGCCATAATGGATAGTCATTGCATGTATCAGAATTAGGCTACCTATTTGCTCGTGCACGAGCAGCTCCGTTTCAACTCTGGAGACACGTTCTGTCTTTGCGCTTGCAAATTCCGCCATGTAAATAGCAAATCCGCCATGGCACGAGAGCAAATGGCTCTTAAAGGGAATGGGAGACAAGACTGTGATCAAACACATACCAGCTTCATCACTGTGTCTGTCACGCGACTCTGTTCCCCTTTCGGGCTCTGTCTTTACATTTATTTTGAAAGATGAAGCTCGCGATTATGGTAAGGGGCGTTACATTTCCGACGAGTGCTTGCGGTGTTCGGCCAATCACAATGCACTGGGTCAGCTGGCCAATCAGAGCAGACTGCGCTTGTCAAAGGAAGGGGCTTTGTTGAAAACGACGTGTTTGAGAGAGGCGGGGCATAGAGGACCTACAATAATGTACAGTATTTGAAAAAGAATGTGTTTTTTGAACATTAAAGCATGTCAACATATTCTGTTACACCAAATACACAAAATAATGATGTTTAAAAAAGCATCATATGACCCCTTTAAATTATGTAGTCTACCTATGTTGTATTGCATTACATGCACATTTCTGATGTATTCTATGATTCTAGAAACAATAAATAAATAAATTTAGGGGGGAAAAAAACTTAAATTCACAGGAAAGACATTTTTAATGTCACAAAAGATTTCTCACAGTTTCCACAAAAATACTAAACAGCACAACTGTTTTCAACATTGATATTAATAAGAAATTTTCTGGAGAACCAAATCAGCATATTAGAATGATTTCTGAAGGATCATGTGACACTGAAGACTGGAGTTATGGCTGCTGAAAATTCAGCTTTGCCATCACAGGAATAAATTACATTTAAGATATATTAAAAGTTGTACTGCTTAATATCTTTGTAGAAACATGAGGATTCAGGATTCTTTGATTAATTGTAATAATTTAAACTAACATATTTTATAATTTTGTAACATTATAAATGTTTTTACTGTCACTTTTGATCCGTTGGCTTCCTTGTTTAATAAAAATATTAATTTCTTTTTTTTTTTAAATCGTACTGACCCAAAATGTTTGTACACTAGTGTAAATATATAAATATTTGGCAAATAAATTGTCACATTCATTTGTGCTTAGTAATTAAGCAGAAAGCTTTATGCAAGCTTTGCACAAATCAAGAGACCAAAGACCAAATTCACATTTATGTACAGAAATTTTACAATATTATAAAATTTATAAAATTATTTCA